AAAAAACAAAAACAAAAAAAAAAACAAAAACTCCACAAGTAACTTTTTCCAAAAAAACTAGGAAACAAATCTACACAGGTGCAGTTGAACCTTTGCCTGATTAAAAAATTACCTATGTACAGAAAGAAAATACAGTAAGCATCCTATAGACAAAAAGAAACCTAAGGCACAAGTAGTCAACTAAAACCATGAGTATCTTTCCATGCAAAGCTAGGTGATACGGACTAAATTGCTTCCCAAGCTATTTGGCAACTGTGACATTCTAATTGAACTCACTAACAATAGTATACGTATTATATCAAATTGGGGTCATGACATAATGGTTGACATAAAGTTTGACATAACGCATACGTGGCACGATCTTATGATTTTACACATCACATCACCTTTAAAATCAACAGCTCAAAATACATATACATCATTATGTCAAACAATTGTGTCCAAACCATTATGTCACATAGAATTATTCATCAAACTAATAGCAAACTAGATAAAGATCAATCACCGCTAAGAAACTTAGCACGGAGGAATGGTAATGCATTTCAAAACAATTAAAGATGCACATTTTCTACAAAATTACCTGGATACGATTGCGATGTGCAAAATCAGAAACAGCTCTATGTTCCAGAAGGCCCTCAAGTTCCCGTTGCCTCTCCCTTTCGATTCTCAGGAGCAAATCAAGTAGTGCTTGCCGTCCCCTGAACCTCAACATGTCTCGGCGTGCATGCTCTGGCTGGCCTTCATCTTGTTCGGCAGCAGACCCTTCACGAGCACCATCAACTTGTGTGCCACCACCACCAGGATCATTATCATGTTCCCCCCTCCGCCCACCATGGGATCCTCTTTGCTGGCTATTCATCTGCATCCACTCCCTCACGATCCTCACCCTCTCACGCTCAGTCTCCCCAAGCCATTCAGCTCTAGGACTATCATTCCTCTGCATCACATTAGATGTTGTGCCACTGATTCCACTCTCCATCCACCCACGAACGATCTGTCTCACCCTTTCCCTCTCAACTTCCCCAGGATCAGGAGACTGCTCGCGGCTGGAGCCCTCGTGGTCCCTGTTCTCGTCCTGTAAGCCCTCCCGATCGTGAGACCAAGCAGCGTAGTCGTTCTCAACCTCACTCGATTCACCCAGACTCTCCTGGACCTGGTTCTCGCTTCCTCTCTCCTCGGACATGTCGACAGCTGTATCCGTGTTAGAATCCGTGATCCTCTGCTGCCTCAACCTATCCCTCACTCTCCCCCGAGCATGGCTGATGGTGTGCTCATCCTCCAGCTCCCGCCACATCTGAAGGATAGACGAGGCCCGAGTGTTAAGCCTCTCAACATCCCTCTGGCGCCTCGAGATCGGGGACTGAGACTCCCTCAGGAATGAGGAGTCGAGCGTGGAGACTGTGTGGAGGCCAGCAAGGGCCATCAGTTCAGACTCACGGTTCCTCCTCTCCATAGTGGTGATCATCTCCTGAGCCTGGCGGGCGGCCCACCTGCTGAGGATCCTCGAGTGGCGTCTCCGAGCAACAGAGGACTCTGCCAGGTCATCACCGTCGTGATCGGAACACTGCCTCCTCCGTACAAGCGGCTCGCCCTCACCTTCCTCGTCCTCAGTGGTGGCCAGTCTGTGCAAGCTGCAGGACGCAAACGACATGTACTCGTCATAATCGCCAAGCATGAGTTCCTCCAAACCCCTCTCGAACTCGGAACGGGTGTCATTCTCTGTGCTCTCAGGTTTCTGCTGCAACTGCTGACTAACATTAGCCATACCTCACAGGGCGCCTCTCAAAAAGAAGCTAACACTGCCAAGGCCTAACTAGAAATTCCTAATACCCAAATATTTAGCCAACAGGAGGAGGAAGAACCGATGTTACCCAAACTATCGGCGGCAGCACAAAACAATCACACAAGAATCCAATTTCTACACTCGGACAATAAATCAAAACCTGGGC